GCGAGACCTCAGCCACTTTTTGAGAATTATAGCTGAAAGAAGGGGAAGTCGACGAGCATCCAGGCAATCGTCAATGATGGTGGAGAATGTGGTCACTCGTATGACGTCCGGGTGGTCGATGTCTCGGATCCTTCCGTCACCACGGCTAAATATTTGATCCGCTCCAATCATCGACACCAAGCTGGCCGTAGAACATCTATCGTCTAAGAGACTTGATCACGTCTAGCTATGTCCAACAAGAAGGAAGACTGGAGGACACCCGCAGTCAAGGTGGAGGAAAAAAACCAACCGAAAACATTCGATTTTGTCGAAAGAAACCCCCTGTTGTCCCAGGAAGAAATCCTCGATAAAAGAAAGCACGACTACGACACAGATTCTAATTCAACAACCGACACCGATACATATGATGAATTTGACTGGTCCGAAGGGGAGACACCACAGAAGTCACAGCCAGAAGTGCGGGCTAAACGTGGACGACGCTTGTGGCTTAGTTTCATGAAGCTTGCGCGACCCGTCAGGGTCCTTTTGGTTGGTTTCCTTGGGTCAGCCATCTGCATCACACCGCTGGTGGTGGTACATGTCCGCTTCAACCAAAGCGTTGTCAAAATGCAAGTCCACATGTGGTCGCTCTGGCTAGCGATAACATGGGCGGCTGCTTGCATGACTTCCTTGTTAGTGGGCTTCATCCCTCGCTTGGTTGTCGCCGTGACGCGTCTCTTTGGTGGAAATACGGAACGATTAAAAATCCAAGTAGATGTATGTTGACTAGATCTTTTTAATCTCGTCCGAATGACTGATTCATTTCTTGTAGTTGACTCTTGCAGTAAAGGCTTGGTTGAAGCTCCTGCTCGACACCACTTGGGGATGGATCACTCTTAGTATCCTTCGAACGGTCTATAACCCCCCGGGGCTGTACTGGACTATCATAAATCGAGTTATGCAGGTAAGTCCCAGTTGCGTTGAAGTGTTTGGTACTGAATTTGCATTAAAGGCCTTGTTTTCTGCGTCGGTTATAATCTTCATCGAGAAAGTATTCCTGCAGTTCGTTGCTATAAATTTTCATCAAAAAGCTCTGGCCGATCGCATTGCCGAGAATCAACTAGGGTTGAAAGCATTGGATCGTCTTTCCAATGCCCAATCCTCGCCTACTACCAGGAAGACTCAGAACCCCAAACGTCGACATAAATTAACTCCTTTGTCTACCGAAATATTCGAATTTCCTTCCGCGTCTTCTAGCCCAGATAGGATTGGGGAAATTAACGAATCATCGGCGATGAACGGACACAATATTTCCACTCAGAATGCACCCAAAAGCTTTGCAACAAAATCAAGTAAGCACCCAAAAAGGAAAAAGCAACCAATGACCAGTGTCATCGTAGATCAGGTATATCACTATCATTTCCCTTTCGAACATCACAAATTTATATCAGTCAACAGGTTGGCGATGCTATAGGACAAATTACCTTGAAAAATTCCAAATTCCATCAGCAAGGCGACCTCGCCTGTCTATATTCTGCCAGGAAGCTGGCAAGGAAGCTTTTCAGCGCCCTTAGCAATGTAGATCCACCGAGATCCCATCTTATAGTTGATGGTAAGTCTCTTCTGTTATATGGTCAATCCGTTATTAACGACTTCCAGACTTTTATCCGTATTTTCGCACTACGGTTGAGGCTGTAAGGCTTTCTATGCTTCATAAGATATTATGTTTTAACCAGTCATTACTAGCATGACGCGTTCGCTCTTTTTGACAAGGATGGAAACGGTGATATCAGCAAGCCTGAAATGAGAGACGCTGTCCAACGCATATACCGCGAACGCAAGGAATTAGCGGCCGGACTCAAGGTAATTTTATTTACAAGTTCAAAAGCGGCGCTGACTTTATCGATCAAATAAGGATGTTGGTTCTATCGTAGCCAAGCTTGACGGTGTTTTGCTTTGCGTGGCTCTTGTCGTGATCATCTTTTTGGCATTGTTGATATTCAACCGGAGCAACACTCTGGCATCCCTCGTTCCTCTGGCCACAGTTGTTCTTGGCTTCTCTTTTATTTTCGGAAACTCTGCTGCTACGCTATTTGAATCTGTGCGTACTCCCTGGCTATATCTTGACTGTCTGAACTCATGTTCTATCAAGCTTATCTTCATCTTTTCAACACATGTCTTCGATGTCGGAGATCTTGTTATGATCGATGACCAGGTATGCGAAAAAATATGAGCTCTGACAGACTCGTTTGAGAGGCTTTATTACCAGGTTTTGTTCGTTAAAGAATTTGGACTTTTTTCGACGGTATTTCGACGCGTCGATGGTCAAGAAGTTATTGCCCCGAATTCTCTGCTTTCAAGTACCAAACTAGTGCACAATCTACGTCGAAGCAAGTCTATGTATGTTTTTCTTCAATTCGAACATCGTCGTTCACTGAGAATACCATATCAGGTGGGAGTCAACCATTCTAATGGTTGCTTACGATACCCCAATGGAAGTCATCGAACAATTAAAAGGGAAAATTGTCGACTATGTTGCTAGCAATAGCAGAGAGTGGTCGAATTGCGCCTTGAACATTGATAAGATGGAATATCAGAATGCAATTCATCTCAATGTTGCTATGGAACGTGCGTATTGCATTCTGCCAGTTGTTGCAAATATGTTAACCACTTGCTCCAGATCGACCGAATTGGCAAGATTGGGGTGGGAGGTGGACTAGGCGAACAACATTTATGCGCTACTTGAAAACGGTACTTGAAGAGCTGGACCTTCGATATACCATGCCCATCCAGCCTGTCATTTTACCCCAAGGAAACAGGTTGCAGAGATCACCGAGTCACCTTCAACCACCAGCGTCTGGAAGAAATACGGTCGACTCCTCTATGTTCAGCAGTGCTGGATTCTTCCAAGGAGGAGAATATGGTCGCCCTTCCGGTCCAGTTTTCAAGGACGGTGTACCGATGTTTTGAAATGGACAATGTTTTTTGTGTGGACACTATTTGCTAAAATGGACGCGGACACTGATCTAAATTAGAATGGAACTAAAATCCAACCCTGTAGCCTACATTTATCTATGTAAATATCTGAATTGTAGAATATCATATATTACAGATCGATTGTCATCTGTTATTTGGTCTGTTATAACTTAATATAAGAGACTATCGCAGCATTAGAACTGTCAATACTGTATGCTTCACATGACCAATGTCCGTTTTGAGAATACTATCGGTGTTTGAGGTCGCATTAAGTTTCAACTTTTCTCAGATATCCACGTTATGGACGACGGATTTTTCACGGTCCCAACCATCCTGGGGAAACGAAAAGCTATAGAACGCAACGACATCCTGATATTGCGACTGGCTGCTAATCTTCCAGGCACCCAATATGAGTTCTCTGAACAACACGCACCTACAAACAAGAGGACACCTATAATAATCAACGGAGCCCTTGTAGAAGACACCAAAAAACGATATTGCTGCACGTATGACGGCTGCGGAAAGGCTTATACAAAACCTTCACGGTTGGAGGAGCACGAACGATCGCACACTGGGCAGGCAAGTGAACTGGCCCTTGCAGAAATTCAGCTAGACTAATTTCCTACAGCGACCGTTCGTTTGTGAAACTTGCGGGAATTCGTACCTTCGGGAGGCCCACTTGCACGCTCACAGTCGTTGTCATCTTCCTGAATCATCCCGGCCTTTCGAATGCGATCGAGAGAGCTGTGGCAAACGTTTCTGGACTTCTCAGCACCTAACAACGCACATTATGTGGCACGATGGTGCTAAACCTTACACAGTTCAGTGAATTAGCAGTACTCTATTGCGCAGATATCTGATCGATTGTTCTTCAATAGTGTAGCGAAGGTCAGTGTCGTCAGTCCTTCTCTAAGCATCACCTTCTACGAGGCCATATATGCAAGGAGCACGCTCCTGCCGGTACTAAGCCTTACCGATGTGAATACGAAGGATGTACTAAATCTTTTGACACGAACCAACATTTACGAACACACCAAAAGACTCATGATAGTGAGCATATGCTTCATCCCATCCCGCTAACACCTCATCTAAACAACGGCAGGCAAGCGCTATACATGTGTCCAAGCTTCCTGCATTGAGAGTACGAAAGATTCACCACCTTACTTCCCCACTTGGTCTGCATTACAAACACACATCAGGACAACTCATCCTCCCACCTGTCCGCATCCGTCATGCGACAAACGCACATTTGCAAACCAAGGAAATCTGAGAGCTCATCTTAAATTGCACGAATGCCACCAAGCAGACGCCAAAATTGACCTTCATTCAGATGCAGGAAATGAGTCGGACCTACCAGATGCCAAGAAACGGAGAGGAGGAGAACACGGGAGGGATTGGAAATGTGAAAATGGTGATTGCGAGAAGGACTTCAAATCAGTAAGTCCAAATTTATTGCATTCTGACTGGTACGGCTAAGCATTCGTCACAGAAAAAGGCTCTTAATACACATATAAAAGTCACACACCTAGGAAAGCGAGATTTCGTGTGCGACTATGAAGGTTGCTTGCATTCTTTTGGATATAAGCATCTCCTTCAACGACATCAAGCCAAGACGCATCAGTCTATTCCTTCTACCCCCATTCGTCATGAAGATGACACTTCAGACAACGACGTTGACAATCATGAAGCCGTGTTCGACATCGATATGATCACGGGGAATACCTATGCAAAGCAGGCGGAAGCAAGGGTCAGCAGTGCAAATGCCCTCCGCTGTCCTTTCCCCTTCCTGTACGACCTTGTAAGTGGGACCAATCACCTGCACGCTATGGGATCCAGCGTTGCTCCTTGTGATTACGTTTTCACTCGTGGTTACGACGCAAGGCGACACCTCAAAGCCTCTCACGGTGTGGTTGTGGCGAAGGACGCCATGGATAAGTGGGTCGGGCTCAAAAAGAAGGAATGTTGAACGAGTATTGCAGTATGAAAATGCGAACTGGAGCAACATTATGATATCGAAATATTGTACACTGGGGCTGCCGTTGCAGGGTGCTATAGTGTAGTGGTTATCACTCAGGATTTTGAGGATGAATTCCTGAAACCCAGGTTCGAACCCTGGTAGCACCTAAGGTCAATATTTTTGTTGTGATTCTCTTCGCACACAATACTCAAAGTGGTCACTAATTGACCATATCAAGATTCAACTACCAACATCACTATCTTGCAGAACTTTTCAAAGTCATTGTAGTGGAGGAAAATAAAGACATGAAATTTGATTGAGTTGAAAAAAGTGCTGCGCAAAACAGTACAAACATAAATGTTTAAACACAGGCATATATAATGCCATATTATGAATCGTAAAAGATCGTCGCGTGGAAACACCATTGTATCCTTTCAATCTCGGGGTGCTAGGCCTACCCTGAGAGGTAAATTTTCCCCCTTCAACTGCTCGCCTTCCAAAGTTGGCAACATAACGAGGCATGCTTCCCTCCTGAGTCTTTCAATGTCGGGAGTAAGAGTTAGTTCAAAATTATTGATAATCTCGACAGTGAGTGCCAAAACTTCGTATAAGGCAAACCTCCATCCTATACAGGTTCTGACACCACCCGCGAAGGTGAGCCTGAGGCAGATAGTAAGCAGATAGATAAATTGCAAAAATGCAGAAACTTACAAGTTGCCATACACTCCGAGTGTCGGTCCTTTCTTTTCAACCTGCTGCAACCATCTATTAGGATTATATACGTGAGCATCTTCTCCAAACACTTCCGTATTTCTACCAAATAAGCACTAGATCAAATTATTCTGGGCTGAAAGGTGTTGCACAATATACCTGTTGTAGGCCGCAATTGATAGAATGATTTTCATGCCTTTAGGAACTGGCAGTTCGTTAAGTATTTGACCGTCATTGGTTTTGATGGGAGTCGACAGAGGCAGAATGTCATCTTTGGCCGCTTGCCTATAATTTTGGTAGACGGCAGGGTGGAAACGCATTGACTCCTGCATAGAATCTAAGTTGCCAATCGTTTTTGAGGTTAGGAAAAGACATACCTTCATAACAGCTGATAGATATGCCATGTTATCTAAATCCGCAGCCGTGAAATCAGAACCTCCTCGAGCTTTAATTGCTTGCTCTGTACTCCTGATTTCGTCCCTGAGTCTTTTCTGAACATCGGGATGTCTGGCGATCTCCAACAGCACCCAACACAGAGTCGTAGCGCTAGTTTCATGTCCGGCTAGCAGAATGGTACTGGGAAACGTTGAAAGTAAGCACACCGGGCAGAATGACGAAGGGCTCATACATCAACGAACCGCATTTGGGCAAGCATTTCTTCCTCTGTCAAACGAGTGCTAGATTTCTCGGAAGCATTTGCTTTGACTGCACAGCAATGAAATGAGTTGAAAGTCGCCAATTTGAACAATACTTACTCAATAACGATAAGATATCCTTGTTCCCCTTACCCTGAAGAAGAGCCTCGGCTTTAGATGCCACAAGTTGTCGGGTGACCGCATTTGCTAAATTTGCAGTGTGGCGTGCATGGACAAGATTTCTGGCTCTAGAAAATTTGGACATTAACTGGAGCGCCCAAACAGGGAAAATAGTCTGCATGAAGATGGCTGATTTGGGTGGGGAACCTAATGTATCCGACCTACGCATGTATTAGTCAAGTCAACATATCTTTCGAAAATAAGTTATCAACATACATTAGCCCAAAGTAAGCCTTCATAAATTCGTTATCTTTATTCGACAAAGCGCCGAATTGGTAATCGAAGGCAGCTGTAAAAGAAAAGGATACAGAACTCTGAACCGTGAGGCTAGAAAAAATTCGTCTACCTTCCCCGATAGAATCCATAGTAGCTCGTGAAAGCCAGGAGGCCACATTTAGGACTGCCGTTTGATCCGGTGAGCTTGCAAGGATGTCAGTCCATTGAGACGTAAGCTGCGGGAGCTTCAATGTTAAATCTTTTTTCACGAGTTCACAAATCCGAATGTTGCGTTACCTCTGAGCCCACACGCCGGAAGATAGGAACAAACGACTTGGATTCCGGAGCTGTAGGAAGTGGCGGTTATAGTACCTGAAAGTGATAAACTGTCAACATACCTCCGAACCCAGGCAACATGACTTTCCGCTGTCGTTTGTGGATTTCGGCTGTATTGATATTTAATTTTTGGAAACGTTGTGGAGATAAGGCGAAGTGACATACCGTCTGCCCAAAGAAGGCCGCGACCCATCAAGATACGAGATATTTCTGTTCTTTCCGGCCATTTGAGAAACCCATAACCTGAAATAGATAGGTTAGTTGCGCTGGTTAATTTTTTTTTTTGGCGTATGTGAACTGCAGAACCTGAGGTATGAAAGATATACTGGAGAGCTTTTGGATCAGAAATGAGCAAACGATCCTCCTACAGAAAATCTTTAGATCGATAAATTGGGCCAGACGCAAGTGAGCGTACTCCAAACGGTCCTTTCACTCGAACAACGTCGCCATAAAGACGTTGATATTTGAAGTCAGGCACTCCGACTTGACTTTGAAATATTTCTGGTAAGTTGCCTAGAATTATTTTGCATGAGATGTGAAGCCAAAAGCCAAATAAGATATTGAGGGGCCCACCAAGCATGAAGGACTCGGGCTCAGGTCCTGGAACGTGAGAAACAGATATCCGTGTTGCACGTCTATATGCGAGAACGACGAGCGTGCATCCCAAAATGAAAGTCTTAATGGACAAAACATAGTTAAAGACTGGCCACCAGCAAAATTGAGGTTTCTTACTGGGAGGCTGATTCCCCATGACTTGCTAACTCTTGCAAAGGAATCAAGGAGTTGTTGAACTCCTTGGTACACAAAGAACATTGCCACAGGAGAATCGATAGCGTTTCAAATGGAGAAAGTTGGCGGAAGGGTGAAGGGGAAGCGAACTTATTGGAGCGGCGGAACTTGCTGGTACGAGAACAAGAGAGGCAATCCCATATGTATACCCGTATCGCGGACAATGTGAAGGAGCCGTTGGACCCTGGGATAGCTCATAGCGTGAGGTAGTATATGATGCACAACTTCATGTGACTCCAGCGGGAAGCATGGGGACTAGAAAAATCTTTGAGTCTAAGAAAGAAAACAAGCTCTGGGAAACGGCGCCCGTGAAAAATGGACAGAGATGACCGACCGAATATGCACTGTAAAGCTCCTCCGACAGAGGAGAAGCCAAATCTATTTATCCAAATCGATTCTCCCATTCCCACCGCTCTACACGTGATGAAATACACATGTAATGGTCAAGCCTAAGTAATAAGTATTGAAGTCGAAGACTCGTATTCAACTTAAAGTTGAAAGGTATGGAAGTCAAAGCTAGACTTTATCAAATCGAAAAGCATCGTGTGTATTCTCGCTTTTACCAAAGACCTGTCATTTGAATCACATTAAACGACGCGTAGTACAGAGCTAGCATACAGGAAGTATATCAACCAAGCATCGTCTCGTACACAGAGTAGAACCGACCAGGAACCGACTAGATGGACAGAGGAAGATGAAATTTTCATGCCTCAGGTCCTGATATAGGAAACTATCCCGATAAAAATCACTAATGCTGCAGACGAATTATGACTCAAAAGACTTCGGTCTTGATTTATATTCCTATGGAGGCTTGTGCGGCGACACGTACGTCGGAGGAGCCGGCAAGGATAATCACGGATATTGCGTGTGGACTGCCTAGTTTTTTTTTTTCATAATACAGAAGTTTGGCGAGTGTGCTGCGATGTTCGACAACATTGGGTTACGCAGAAGCAAGAACTAAAATCCCAATAGAAAAGTCCAAGGATGATTTGAGCATTCAGAGTGATTCGACGAATCCGGAGATCAGTAGGCAGAAAACCTTCATACCAGATCTCCTAAACGCAATCGCTGGAGACTACGAACTTGAAGATAGAAATCCAACCGAGGAAATAAAAGATCATCAAATGTCGGAAGACTGTCAGTATCTTGTCGGTGACAAGTGTACACCACATATGGGTGATTCAAGTTCCTGAGTCGAGTTGTTTATCCGTTAAGTTGAAAATGAGAGAGAAACAAACTCTTTATCATTTTTAAAAAATGGGATAGTACCGGAGCCTTGGAAGACAACTGGCGGTAAGTGGCAAGTAATGTTTGCCTGGGTCTGTTAGATTGCACAGGTTCAGGTTTGTTGACAGAATCTGCGACAATACTACAGTGCTTTGCATAAATAATTGCCGCTCGATTTCGTCGAATTTTGTTGGAAACCGTGTTTGTTCCTATATTTAATGGCTCGGCAGCGCTCTGCCGTCGAACCACTATCTCCTCCTGCCCGTTTTCACTCTTCAAGACGCCTGTTTTCTCTGCGGGTATTAACCCTTGAGCAGCGAGTATCCGGTTCTGGGGCTTTAAGCCAGAAAACTCTGGTTAAAACGGTGCAACGCTACATAGACGTACAACTGGAAGCCGAATGATGCCGCAAGGCGCCATCACGCCTGTTGCTGGTGTTGGAGAAATTGTGCGGCAAATACTTAGGCAAAGCACTGTAATATGTAGCCAATGGAGTAGACTCCTCGAAGCCTGTCTAAATGGGTAGAAAACCGAGATATTCATCACAACTGCCGGGTTGGGATCGAGACACGTGGTTGCCTTCAAGTTGCATCACACCGGCAACTTGAAATCCTGTGAAACGCTTTCATCATGACCACCAACAGCGATGGAGCAGTGGACTTCGCTTACCAGAAAAACATGGCGAATTCCACTGAGAACAATATCCTGGAAGACCATGCGAATTCAAAGTATAAAGAATGCTTGTCCTGTCGAATCATGGGCACAGGTGTGCTAGCGGGAACGGGATCATATGCTATTTGGCAATGTCGAGCATCCGCACCCGGTTCACCTGGACAAAAGAAAATAGTCGCGGGGCTTGGAATAGGTGCGTCCGGTGTCGACATCATCCGCTTAAGTCCAGCTGCTCAAAGTTGTTCCAGCTCTCCTCGTTGGTAGCGTTTTTCGATGGAGAGCTTGGAAATGAGCCAGAAGTGTGCTCTTTGCGCCAGTTTCCTTGCTATGAACTCATCTCTCATCTGTGACACCCGAAATAGCACAAACAACGTGGATTCATTCTTTCTTCTGTTTACTGA